TATGGCTGGTCTTCATGCTCAGCCACTGAAAATTCATTATCTTTAGCCCTGTATTTATAAATGGACTTTCTTTTCATTCAAATTTTCATTTACTCCCATTTTCATAATTATGCGAGCCAGACAACTAGATATTATTTGAGACGTCTTGGTTTTTGGCTTTCCATCAATCAAATTGTTTATGGTCTGGTGTTAAATTTTTGATCAATGGCAGCCAAAGACCTAGCTGCCTTGAGCTATGTTGGTTGTGCAACTACAAAAAAGGGTCTACTTCTTTGTRCAAACAAACTGTTGTCTAAATCAATTAAATTATTGGCTTYTGATTGGCTACAATCCTTTCTTTTTTCATTTCTGGTTATGGAATTTTTCTACGATTGAGATTATCTGGACAGTCTAAAYAATCCAATATATRACAAACCAGGCTGTTTTAGGATTCTTCTTCCAACTTAATGAYAAATACGACAATCTCATATCTCAAGGTCCARTAAAAAGAGCATAAAGTAAACTAAGAATACTCAAAATATGCTGCTGATTATGAAGTGGTCGAAAATCCAAAATTTGCTTCCTCTGCAAACGACGTGGATTCTTCCAGTGACGTCACTTGGCAAATACAATGGATTCCATKGTTACRGGRATTACCMAAAACGATTGGCTGAGAMGCGTTATCCGAAAAATGAGAAATCTAGCCACCTCAATTGCGCTTCACAAGCTAAAAATGAGCTCTAGCATTACATGTAGGATTATGGAAAATGGAATAAAAAATAGGAACAATTATGCCCAAGCTGAAAAGTYTTATTTCAATAAAACCTACCAACAACTCCTGTTGTTCCATCACCAATCTCRTCATCCTGGGCTTTAGATAATTCAACCAGCAATTTTGCTACTTCATGATCAACTTCCATTCTTCCTAATATTGTAGCACCATCATTAGTGACCGTCACCTCACCATCAGGGCTGACCATCATTTTGTCCATGCCTGTAGGAAAGAAAATATTAATGTATAAAATGGCTGTTAACATCAGTTTGTTCTGCAGGAAGATGTGGTTCAAGTACTAGTTAAAACAACAGGGCCCAGTCGTATGAATGGTGGTTAGCGCTGTCCAAGGAATAAATCTTATCCAGTGGATAAAATTTTTGGATAACAGCATCGATTTTTTCACTGGATAAGGATTTATCCATTGGATAGCACTATCCATTCTTCGTACAACTAGGCCCAGACGTGGTCTACAAAGAAGTCAGCACCAAAAAATTACAGCTCAAGGTTAAAAACGATGGCTGGTTCATCGCCAGTCCAGCTGATTGGCCATATAAGTTTCTCATTTCTGGCTCAACATTACTAGTCAACACCACCAGGTAGGACTAAACAGGCTCAAAGTCTACATGTAGCTGGACATTAGCAGATCAGATGACTTGTTATTAATAGAGACCTTTAGATCTGATGACGAGTATGAGAACGAGTACGAGTGTTTAACTTTTAAAGAGAGGCACTATCTTTTTGTAGTCGTGATCGTGTACGTAGATTGAAACTTTAGATTGTAAAAAATTGGAAGATTCGACTACGATTTAGTGTTAACCACATGCACAGGACCAATTTTAAAACTCATACTCGATCTCATACTCGTCGTCGTATCTAAAGATTGCTAATATTTCTAGCCCTGCAGCCAAATCACAGCTTTCTACAAAACATTACGATATAGCTACATGATATAAATAAATTGATATATAGGGTACAAAGAAGAGTAGTACAACAAAATATCTGAGAAGCTGCTTTCTTCATATTATCTTCAAATAGTACTAAGACTCAAAAATAATGGATTCAACTTTAGTTTTTTTTTTTTTTTGACAAATATTTAATTGTCTTCAGAAAATTATTATTTAAAAAAATGGCATAACAAATTTACAAGAATACCTTCTTCTAATAACATAGAAAATCCATAGAGTATAATGTAATTATTTTTTGCTGTAAACACAAATTCAAAGGCAGTCAAAAGGGTGTGTTGAGGAAACGAACTTCGAGAGTAATGATTTCTGTACATGTACAAAATTTGAAAAAAACTAGTTTACTTGATTTGAATTTGTCTAAAAAATACGATATCTTTGCGTCTATGAAGCCGAATAATAGGAATRATATTGCTGTGTGCCGGTATTTGAAGTCATTTTCACGTGTAATAGAGATCAAACTGTCAAACCTACCTTTTGGTCCAAGGGACGTTCGTAAAATRCTAGCTACAGCTCGGGCAGCTAAAATATGCGACTGAAAAAATAATAATAAGTTTATTTAATACCTGTTAACCTTTGAAATGAAGAAAGTTTGTTTTTATTTATCGTATAACATGAACAGGAATTAATACCTTTTGAGCTTCGAGACCTGTCAACCTTCGTTCGGTCTCCTGTTCTTTGAGTATAACAAATGGCCTTCCAAACTCATCGAACGTAATGCCTTGGGCAGTAGCTCTAAGAGGTCCCATAGCCATGTTTGTGGAAGGTTTTTAGTTTATACGATGATAGATAAAGCCGATGATTTGGGATTTTGTAAAGTTTCTGTTGCACCTTCTTGGTGCTATGGAGAGAAACAGCAAGAAACACCTCTAGGGCCCAGTACTTCAAGGTAAGATAAAACCAAAGGAAGTCCAAAGCAAATTTACAGTGCCCCATAAGCTATGAAAAAATTGAAAGACGGACACATTAACTACATCGATTGCTGCAGATAAAAAGATTTGCTGCAAATACGGAAGGGGGGATATAAATTATGACAAGACAATGTTGTTTGCACACTTTGTACGCATCTATAATAGGTCCACTTACACTTTATCTGTTTATGCTTGTATTCTAGATAGTTGGACAATTACGGCAAGATAACAAATTAGAATCTCAGCGACCGGTCACCAAGAAAAACAAGTCCACAGTCAGGGTGTTGATTGCGTAAAGTATCGAAAGCAATAATTTTAATTCATTAAAAAATAACCATTAACATCCCCATATGTTCCTGTGCGCACAGCGGTCTCCTCAGCAGCCGTTTTTCGTATCGTCCAAACTTCCCTCCCCACATACGTCCTTTTAGTAGACTAGTGCACTCAGCCAGAAAGGATGATATACGAAAATTTATATTGTGATTTTTTTATTGAATATTTCAATAATACACTATACAGAATTAATTCAATAAATTGCTTTTTTTAAAAATTTTTTTGCCTTTCCATTTTTGTATTCTTAATGTTAGAGTGCAAACAATAAATCCGTGAAACACTAATTACTAAATAGTACAAAATAAGGCTAATTAAACAATAGAAAACAATGGAATTTGCATGAAATTGTGCTATTTAGTATTACTAACGTTTCACGTATTTACTGTGGTCACTATAGCTAATATTAACTATAGTTAACATTAATTATGCTCCAAATAAAGTCGCGTAAGATTTTTAAAATGGAACCGTGTCCCACATCGAAAGGAATAATTCTGATGTGCRCTAATTAAGTCATCAGCGACTCAAATATTTGTTTTTTTAATAATTATTCGCATAAAAATTGCAACTTGAATAAAAAAATCAGATTGTCATTTGGCCAAAGCGCTTGTCGAAAATTTAACCCTCCCGCCACCTCTCCAAACTTCGTAGGGGTAAGTAAAGGAAATGGTAAATATCTCCACAATTCAATTGCCCTATTTAATTGCACTATGACGTCACATCAAAACAATCTATTGTTTAAACGCAAAGGATCATGGTCGTCGGAGGGGGTCAAATCAACGCAAATTCACCGAAAATTGTTCTAAAACCCGTATCAATCCACAAAGAGAAGTAGAATAGACAGCAAACGCTCAGGATATTTTTTAGTACATATTAACACATATTATATCTGAAAACCAGGCTATTTTAGATTAAACTGTTTCGCTAGGAGCAAATTTTGTTGAATTTTCTATAGGATTTGGCGATTCTATCCCCCACATAAACAAGCAGTGACGTCATAGTGAAATAGGGCAATAATAGAGGTGTGATGGGCGCCAGGTGGGCGGTGGACTGTGGCCACCTCTGCGAAAGGGCTGGTTATGTTTGACCAGCCTTCGGATCCTAACACTCWACCACCCAAACTTATCACTAAGATGAGTTTTAACGTAAATATAAAAAATATCCTCTTTCCCAGGTCCTTTCCAGAGTATCTATGTTGAAAAGGTCGGAGGAGGCTCTGGGACGAGCGAAATGTATATCAAAAAAAATCTATTCAGTATTAGTTTTTCTATTATTATTATTTGTGACCATTAATTTGTTGCATATGTCTTTCTTGGTCGTCAGCCGGYGGAAGGTACTTTTTCTCTGCTTCACCAATCAACTCTCTCCCAGTGTCCTTGGCAGTTCTCTTTGCCAGAGCCCTGGTGACGACAATWTGAGTGCAAATTTTTAACGGTAAAATTGTAAACAGATTACCTAGTTTTAAAATGTATATGCATTAATAATGTTTTTCATATAATTGAATATAGAAAAAATCAATTGAATTCAATGCAAAATCACTCTAAATTATACTACGAACTTTACTTACTTGACCCCAAGATTATCAACGTTCCAACATGTCTAAAGTGTAATAAGAAAAGAAAAAGAAAGTAAACTTCAGAAATTATCATCAACATTTTCGTCTTCAGCTCAGTGCATATATCTATTATTACCACTTCCGCAGTTCGCATTATCAATGCAACATCCGAAGGCTTTTATCATCATTCTCATCAGCCATGATTGCCATCACCATCACACTACCATCACCATCACAACCATCACTACCATCACCATCACTATCATAATCAACGCTATCATCATTATCACTATCATCATCATCACTATCATCATCATCACCACTATCATCATCATCACTATCATCATCCCCATCATCATCACTATCATCATGTCATCATCACTATCATCAACTCCATCACTATCATCATCTTCATAACTATCATCATCATCTTCATCATCACTACCATCATCATCGTCATCATCATCAGCTACATAATTTCATTATTACCACTTCTGCAGTTCCCATTATCCCTGCAACATCAAGGCTTCTATCATTATTCTCATCAGCCATGATTGCCACTATCATCACTATCATCATCATCCCCATCACTATCATCATCATCATCATCATCATCATCAGCTATATAAATTTATTGTATTTATTTATTCTCAACATTTTATTAATTTTGTCAGGTATACCTGAAGAGCAAATCCCAAAGCACCCAGCGAATTGTCAGTTGCTTCACCAACAGCGGGACCATATCTAGAGATTAATAACAATCATCGGTGACTGGTTCACGTAGATGCACAGTTAAGGAAGAGTAATGTTTTTTAAAGTGCACCTGCACCTAACCCCTGATACAATACTTTCAGTATCGATTCTACATGTGTGAATAGTGAAAAGTGAAAGTGAAAGTAAATAGTTAAATGGGGAAATATTTCTTTATTTAAATGTTGCGTCCTTAAGTTAAGAAGATTTATACCCCCAATATGTTAATGCCACTGTGTGTTATCCCAGGACCATAGGCTTATGAGTGTATTTGTTTTAAATTGTAATACTAAACACTAGCCATTAAGAGATACCGCATTTACGATAAACATTGTGGAAACATTCATATTTTAACAGGAAGCTTCTTCACTTATAAATGTGATTTTCAAGAAGGTTCTGATAAGTAAGATATCTTTACAATAATATGCAAAAAGAGAATTTGGAGGTTGAATATCAAAACCAGCTCGTTACTGAAAAGTCAACATCATTATTACTAGTATGTAAAATTGTAAAAGATGAAAAGTTCAGATTATTTAGGTTTACAGGTTTAAAAGAAATTCGATTTAAAATGGTTAATATTAGAACACTGTTTAAACCTTAAGTATTGTGTGAACCAGTTAATACTTATATATTCAATCGTAGTTAAGCCTGGGGTTACGTCACAGACAATAACATAACCGTCATAACTTAGATGAAGAAATATTTCACTTCACTTTATGTATAATCAATACTGAAACTATTGTATCAGGTGTTTGGCGCTCTTTAAACATTAGAAAAACGTTTTTTGTGAATTTTGCAAGAAATGAAACCTCAAGTGCAAGCTTGGTGGGAAAACAGAAAATAAAATGTTCTGTAAGGTGGTGACTCTTATCTCCCTAGCCAAATGACCGACTACGCATTAAATTTTCCCATACTCAAACCCTCTACGCACTTCTACTGTGAGTGTCAGAATTCTTCAACGAATTAAATGTTCTGTAAGGTGGTGACTCTTATCTCCCTAGCCAAATGACCGACTACGCATTAAATTTTCCCATACTCAAACCCTCTACGCACTTCTACTGTAAGTGTCAGAATTCTTCAACGAATTAAATGTTCTGTAAGGTGGTGACTCTTATCTCCCTAGCCAAATGACCGACTACGCATTAAATTTTCCCATACTCAAACCCTCTACGCACTTCTACTGTGAGTGTCAGAATTCTTAACGAATTAACCTTACTTGTGATCTACAGTTTGTACTGTGGCATGCTGAAGACTTTTGTAAAGTAACTTCCAAGATCTTTCTAGCCCTTCATAAACAGTTGCAAACCCTGTAACCACAGAATGATATTCATACATTATTGAGCACTGAACGGGTAAGCTGTTATTGTTGCAATATCTTTTAGGAAAAAATCTTGTCATTGCTAATCACTATTGCAAGTACAGCAGTGGCGCAGCTCAACAGGTTCGAACTGTCGCCTATGCATAAATAAATAATCGTTATTACAGCTATTTCAAAGAAGGTTGAATACTGCATACTGAATAGTGTATTCCAAGACYGAAGTGSATTGTGGGTCATAGTGACATTGTCTAAAGTAGGATTAATAATAATTATTTATTCTATTTTTAGTGTATTCCATCTGAAACAATATACTAACTACATGTAGAGAGTTAATTGCTGTATATTTACTTTTTATTTCAAATTAACAAGACCCACAATGCACTTTGGTCTTGGAATGCACTATTCAGTATTCAGTATTCAGTATTGAACCTTTTTTGAAATAGCTGTATACATGTACGCAAATGTGTAACTCAAAAGGCCAACCGCAGACAAAATACTACCTTGAGCTCCACCGACAGCAACCTTGACAGCGTTTTGGACCACTACCTGGCCCTTTTCATCATTGGATTTCTTTTTTACAGATTCTGGAAGCATCTAGAAATCACAAGCAACACGAGCCAATAAATAATTTTGAGCTTGAATAAATGTTTGAACTTTTTTGTCTTGAAAAATTTTGAAAAAATTCACGCGTTGACCAATAGCCGCGATAGACGGAAAGCGCGCGGAATAAATGCAGCAAGTCGGTATCAATTTACTATCTAGCTACGTACAGCAGTAGTTGGCATCAGTAACGGCAAAACTCTAACATACCTTTCCTCCCTTTTCCACCACAATAGGTGCAACACTTCTCGCTAGTTCTCTTGTCATGGCAGCAACAGCAGAAACCACTGTACTACTTACTTGGCAGGCAACACCTTGAATCATGGTTGGGAGAAAAAATAATGCATCATGCTCTCTTCTCAGTGGGAGAGCACAGTTTTGAACCAATCAAATCGTTCATAAACAACTCATGATTATGGAAAAACGAATTCCGGGCCCAAAACGAAAAGCAGTTCTATAAAGACCTTTTTTACTCGTTTTTCTTCATGGCAGGATTTATTGTCCAAAGTTCTAATTGGATGTTAAAYCATTGAGAACATTTTTGTGCTTTATTTTAGCGGTTTTTATGAGCAGTTGAACCCAGAAATACATCACAACTTAAAAGCTTCATAGACGCATCACCAGTAGGAGTAAAACGGACAGGAATTTGCAGGGATGAGCTGAACAATATGAAAAGGAACTCCAACTCTACCTGCCACAGACTTGACATGTCTTATTTTCTGCTGAACATTTTCATCYACTTCAGTTGGAGTTTCATTCGGTTTTAAGGACGTTCTTAGCTTGACACCACCCTGGTGAAAACATACATACAGTAAAAGATCAATAAAAGACCATCCGAAACACACACACTAAACTAATGG